CACTCCGAAGAATAAGTAGTCCCAATTGGAATGAAATGCGCGGACTTGGTCAACCGATCCACAATCACCCAAATAGCATCAAACTTCCTTGAAGTCCGTGGGAGCCCAACTATAAAATCCATGATGATATGCTCCTATTTTCACTCCAGAATCTCAAGCCTCTGAAGCAATCCGCCCGGTCTCTCATGCTCACACTTCACTTGCTGACAATTTAGGTACCGAGTTACAAACCCCACTATATCCTTCTTCATCCTCCTCCACCAATAGTGCTACCTCAACTCCTGTTACATCTTTGCGGCACCCGGATAAATGGAATACCGCGAACTGTGGGCCTCCTCAAGAATCAGCTCACGTAGCCCATCTACATTAGGCACACAAATCTGACCATGCATCCTCAACACCCCATCATTCCCAATTGTAACCTCCTTGGCATCACCGTGCCGAACCGTGTCCTTAAGGACAAGCAATTGAGAGTCATCATATTGGCACTCTCTGATGCGATCATATAAGGAAAATCGAGAAACCACACAAGCTATAATCCGTTTGGGCTCCGAAACATCTAATTTCATGAACTGATTGGCCAAGGCCTGAACATCTGATGCAAGCGGTCTCTCACCAGCAGGAATAAAGGCAAGGCTACCATACTCACCGCCTTCCTACTTGTGAGCATGTGATTTTTGACCTATTAGAATTACTCCTACAAAATTAAAGAAAATAGATTTTTCCAAATTGTTTTCAATTTTATAGGATTTTGTAGGAATTTTCATTAATTGTTTGCATTTTTGTGCACGTTTAGTTTTGTTAAAATCATGAAAAACGCCCCAAAAATGTCAAAATATCATGCGTTGCATATTAGATTTTATGTTCACATTTTAGGATTAATTGGTTAATTAATTTCGTTATTAAACTAAAATCACAAAAAAAATGTCATTCATTTTTCTACATTTTTAGTTTTAATTTTAGATTAATAATTCCCTCTTTGTTAACTTAGGATTAATTAATTGTTAAATAGCACGAAATAGATGACTAGCTTAATTTTATAATTTAGAATAATCAGGACTAAATTAGGATCTAATTAATTAGGTTAGATTTTTAATTAAAGAAAAAGCAAAAAAAAAAAAAAAAGAAAAAGAGAAGAAAGGCAATAAAAGAAAACAAAAGACTGGTCTTTCGAATTTGGGCCACCCAGAGACCAAATCTAGTGGCCCAATTCTCTTTTGCCCATCCAAAACACCAAGCCGAAAGACTATTCCACCCGGTCCAAATCACTTACCCAAAAACGACCCCGTTTCGCCCCAAGCTATCCCAGCCGTTGATCCATACGAATCCAACGGCTGGCAACTGGTCTTTTGTTTTACATATAACTGTCCGAACCAAAGACCACCCCCCATAGACCCCCTTTCACTTCCGTCTCTCACTCCCAAACAACGAAACCCTAGCCGCCCTAATTCTCTTCACCGTCTCCGCCGTGGTCCGCCGATCGAAAATTGCCTCACGGCGGCAGACCACCTCCAAACCTCACCAATTTAACACCCCATAGCCGTCTCCTCCTCCTCTTTCCATATATCATCATAGTTCCCTTCGAATAAGTCCCCATCCTCTCGAATTTTAGATCTGAGACCCCAGAAACCCTAATTTTTTCCCTTTTGTTTCTTGGCCAGTTTTGGGTCACATGAACCCAAGAATTCCATTAATAGACTCTTCCTGTTAAGAACAGTTGATTAATGGTCGTCTAATTTCATGTTCTTCCCCATAAAAATGGCTGAGTTCGTAACTGGTCGATTCCATACGAGCCTTAGGTAATTTCCTTTCCATTTTTCTTTTTATTTTTTGCCTTTTGCTTTCTTTTACAGTTATTTTATTGTTTAAGCCTACATGTTTTAGGTCTCTTTCTGTTTTGGTTTGATTTTGTCCATTTGTACCTGTTTGTTTAGACTGTTTGAAACATGCTGACTTTCGTTTGAAGTTTAATTTTGATTGCATGAATTTAGTTGAATTAGGTTTAACTTTTAGGTTTTAACAAATTGCCTGACTGTTTTGTTTTTCATTTTGTTTATTATGTTTGTTTCTACCTTATGTTTGTTTGTCTTATACTCAGTATTTATTTCAAATTGATTAGAATAGTTTTACCCAAGTTAATTAACAATCTGTTGGACATGTTTCTGATTAGCCATTAGAAACATTAGCTTAATTGATTAACTTTTTTGATTTGCGAATTGTTTAAGTTAATTTCTAGGTTGTCTTGGCCTCATTATTCTGTTTCGTCTTGATTACTGTTTTTAGACATAGGTTTTAAAATTTAGTGTTCTTGTTTAAAAATTAAGTTGTTAATTACTAGTTAGGTGTTCAATTGTTTGAATTAAACCTTAGGTACCCTTAAGCCTAAAATTCAGATTTAAAGAGGCAATTGAAACAAGTTTAGAAACCCTAATGTAGAATTATCTAGCAGGGTCTAGAAGGTCCTAAGGGGATCCCTAGAATCAAAATAGGATCAGAATATAGGGTATAACTGAAATAATCAGTAATTGAAGGGATAAAATTGGATTTTACGTTAGGTAAAAATCAGAAGGTTCTAGCATTTGTACAGCTGTCCCCATTTCCAGCATGAAAAATGCTGGAATTGGGCTGAAAAGGACAGACAGTTGTCCAAATATGATGTACTATCTGACACTTAGGGAATTTAGGGTAGAATATGCCATTTTGATGCTATCTTGGCATACCCTATAAAAGAAAAGTTATTCCCTCATTTCTGGACAGAATTCATTAGCATATCTTGACCTAAAAAACTTCAGAATACAAAGAAAAAATCCCTGAAACTTTTCTGGCTAAAAAACTTCAGTTTTCTAGTTAGATTTCTAGGCTAGTTCTTCTGGTACTCTGATTTTTGAGAAGTTTGAGTGTTGGTTCTTGGTTTTCTGGGCTGGTTTCTACTGATGCTGTTTGGTTCTGGTTGCTGCTCCATCTCTAAGTTTTCAGCCAGCATTTTCACTTGCTTTTTTGCTGGTTATTACTTGTTTTCAAGGTACTGATTTCAGCTCTCCTCATGTACTGCTTTTTTGAATATTATAAGACTAAAAATTGCAAATTATATGTGATGAATGAGTGTTTCTTTTCATGAAGTAGTTTTTGGTATCCTGATACTTTTAATTCCCTCTTAAAAATGGCCAAGTTTGAAATTTTTAGTTGAAATTTTATACTGATTTTGAACATTGATTGCTGAAGTTGTTTTTTCTTTCTTCTTCTGCTCACATGATAATAACATAGTGTTTTGCTTGAGGTCATGTCACCTATGGGCTATAACTTGCGGATTTGGTCACTAGTTGGCCAAATCAGCATATTTTGAAAGCCAAAAGCTGAAATTTGGCTGTTGCTATTATGCTGAAATTGATGGCTTCATGTGGTAAACTAAGCTTGATGGATCAGTTATATCCAAAATGAGTGAGTGTTCACTAGGCTGTCCATTCCGGAAAGATTGTAATAGAATTAGTTGACATATTTACTTTTTAAAAATTGAACTTTGATGTAATAGATTAGTTATTTGTTGTAGTAATTCATGTATTAAGTACTCCGATGTAACTTTTTCTTCTGATTGTCAAATGGCCTTTACATTATTTCTCATAGTAATGCTTCTTTATTAGTGTAATTTGTAATGTCACAATAGTTAAGGCCATGGGCCAGATGTTAAAATTAAGCTTCTGCTTCTGTGATTCAGATTGGGCCAGACTCGCAAATGAGCCCAGTTGGGAAAAATAATCTCAAATGAGTCTGGGCCTAGGCCATTGGGCCTGGGCATTAAGCCCAATAGCTTGACCCCAAATATGGATTTTACCTTTTTTGAACTTTAATATGAACTCCAAGATTTTTGTTTACGTTGGAAATCACAGTAGTATAAGTATTTTCAAAAATTTAAACAATGTTCTGATTTTTACTTCTGCATTAACCAAATTTGGGATTTTAGGCAAAATTTATATTTTTTAGTGAATTTCATTGTTACTGAAAACGGAACTGCAATAGGCCCAGTTATTTAAAGCGTGATTGGGCCAGTTTTACCAAGTAGCCAATTGGGCCTCTTCCCTCATAATTCAGGCCTGTTACCATTGATGCTAGACTATGCCCAAAAGTAATTGAATTCTATCCTTGTACGTTTGCCATGATCTTTACAACAAAATTAAATTAGTTTAGAAAAATTTGAATATTCGTAGAAATGCTTTAGGCGTGTTTAATTAACTATCGTGACTATGGGTACGGTTCCCGTAGCATAGTCATGGTACATAATCCCTAATTCGGGTGTGCATTTCATGTGACCCGATCATAACAACTTTGAATAATAATAAAATAAACATGTCGCAAATCGGGGACGCATTTCATGTAGCGTGATTTGCAATGTGTTCCAAAACAAACAAGTGTACGACAATCGTAACTTGTTCCAGAAATAATTTCATAAAAAAATAAAAGCGAAGTTAAAAATACACAATAGTTTTAAAACATGTAATTAATCAGATAATTAGACCAATTATTAATATTTAAGTGACCATGCTAGATCTTTTCCATCGTCCGGGATACATGAACTATGGTCTGACTGGTCGTAACTGCATTGAATAACATGAAAACCGAGTGGATGGTCATGAGTTTCCAGAAGGTACAGAGGCGTGGTTTGCACATTTGAGTTCTTTAACTGCAAGCAAAATTGAGTGGTCATTCGGTTGGCTCCCAGTCAATGAAGTCCTTTATATGTCGGCCGGAGTATGCTTTCTTTTGTTGATGGGTCTTCGGAGTATTAAGCCGTATGCTCCACACAGGGTTCCGCGCCAGCTAGGCAGGTACCAAAATGTCCCTCACGATGAATGATTTGAGTCAAAAAGTTATTCAATTATGTCCAAAAGCTGCATTCCGGGAAGAAAAGGTTCGCCAGATTTGGCACCAATATAGGTTCCTTGAGTCCCGGACTCGAGTACGGGATCTGTCTAGAGGTGAAGTAGAACCTAGCTACATAGCCTGGTATGGTAAAAGAGCTCGAGTCCATCAAGAGCCAGAACGGCCCGCCAAAAGGCCCCATGTGCAACAGTTCACTGATAAAGCGCAAGAGCAATGGAACTGGTTAGATAAGAAAAAGGGCTACAGAACTACCATAAGCAAATTAGAAGGGAAAATCAGAGATCTTAAATTTGATAATGGTTAACAAGATGCTGCGGATGAAGGGGAGAAGAAGAAATTAGCCCGAGAAAACGAAGCCCTCCGAGCCCAGATTCAAAGAATGAAAATAGCTGCTGAAAACCAAGTAAGAAGCAGAGCAGATGAAAAACTCATAAACGGTCTCAAAAGGAAAGTATATGAGTATGAGAATGATTTGGAAAAGTCCGAAGGTAGATTGGCAAGAGCCCGGGCAAAGTTGGCGAAGAACGCAGAAGGACGGGCAGGGTTTGTTCAGCAATTAAAAGAAAAATATGATAGGGAGGTCGCAAATCTAAAGAAAAAGCTAACTACCCGCTTTTTCTACCCTCGAGAATGAAATGGCTCAACAGACAAAGAACTTCAAGGCAGAGAGGGAACATTGTTATGCATTAATGTCCCAACTGGAAGAGGACATGCGACAGTTACAGGAGCAAAGCCATACAGACACCCAAGTTCTGGAAGCTAGATCTCAACAAATTGGACGCCTACTCCAAGAGAAAGGCATCATTAGAGAAAGGATTAGAGGAATTGCTGATTATATTGTCATGAAATGCCATGAGTGCGAGGATATGACTAGATCCACTTTCTTCGCCACCGTGATGGCTTTCGCTCGCCAGATAATGGACAACCTGGATCGCCTCCAAGAAGATATTGCACATAGGCCAGTGTCGAGACCGACTGATGTCCCGCGGGCCCCTGGAGTAGTATTAGAGGCACTTATGTATTCCTGATTTTTTCTTTTCGAGTCTGTATTTCAGTTTCTTTAGAGTCTGTTAGTCTACTTTGAGTCTGTTTGGTTTTAGTTCTTAAGTCTGTTTGTCGGAGTCTTGTAATGGAGTAGATTCAAAGGTTTTATTTAATGAAAATTTGAAAACCCAAAAAAATGTGTTTCTTTCTTTTATTTTGCATTTATCCCCTGAACTACGTAATGATCTGATTCGCGCGGCGTCGCGATATGTAAGTAATCCCCATCGGATTAGGTCATAGCTGTAGATAACTCGAATAAGAGAGAAAATGATGAAAAGAGGGCACAAGAAAAAGAGAGAAAAAAATGCAAAAGAGAGAGCGCAAAGAAAAGAGAGAAAAAAAATGAAAAAACGTAAAGAAAAGAAAAAGATTCAAGGATCAGGGAGATAACAAAAGCCGGGATGAGAGAGCAACCGTTGCAAAGCATGTAGAAAAACGTTTAACTGTCCAGGTGCATTGCATTCCCCCAACGTGCAATTCCCTATGTGTTAAATGTCTCAAACTAACCGATTTGTTGTGTATGCTATTGAGAACAGGTTCTGTTTTAGGTGGTTGGTTTTGTGGTAACCTGGCTACGCACCCTTACTTCACGAGATCTAAAGGGAGTGTTGAAATGGCATCAGAGAGTCACCTACCGATCATCAACCCCTCAGAGGATAGCCCGACAATGGTTATCCCGACCTCAGAGTTGGCAACTACTGAGGAAAATAGAATGCTGCGTCTCCATATGTTGGAAATGTGGGACGCCTGGTCTAACGACAGAGAATCGCCAAGTACAATCCCTGGATTTCTCGAACTGATTTCCAGGACCGGTGGAACCTCCAACGTCCCTATAACCAATCCGTTCAGCCCGTTCGGATACCCCTCTAGGTCAGTCATCTCACCGGATTGCCTTTTGAGGTTCGCCCCCAGACACTGTTCTCGGGAATATCTTCTACAATATTCACCGCACCACCAACCTCTGCTACTGCACAACCAACAATGCCCAGACCACGTTTTGAGCCACCATCCTTTACTTTTCAAGTACCACAATTTCAGCTTGACACGGCTCATGTCACCCCGAACTCTTACCCACAGCACCCTCGGTATGAATCTGCCATGGAACAAGAGAAAACTGTGAAAAACCCCGAGCAAGAAGAGATGACTCGAAAAATGAAAAGCATCGAACAGAGTCTCAAGAACATATAGGGCCTGAGTGGCCAGAAGAGTGTTTCCTATGCTGACCTGTGCATGTTTCCTCATGTTCATCTACCCATCAGTTTTAAAACACCAAAATTCGAGAAGTATGACGGGCATAGAGACCCGATTGCCCATTTTAAAGATACTGTAGTCAGTTAAGAGGAGCGGGCGGAAAGGATGAACTGTTGATGGCTTACTTCGGAGAGAGCTTAATTGGAATCGCATCAGAATGGTATATGGACCAGGACATCTCCCACTGACACATATGGGATGACTTGGCCCGAGACTTTGTCAGACAAATCCAGTACAATGTGGACATAGCTCCAGATAGAACTCTATGTCCAATCTTAAAAAGAAGTCTTCAGAAAGCTTCCGAGAATACGCTATCAAATGGCGCGAGCAAGCGGCCAGGGTAAAACCCCCAATGGATGAGACCGAGATGGTTAGTGTCTTCCTGCAATCCCAAGAGGCTGATTATTTCCAGAACATGATGTCCGCCAAGCCGTTTGCAGAAGCCATAAAGATTGGGGAGATGGTGAAAAATGGTTTGAAGACGGGTCGCATCATGAGCCAGTCGGCCATAAGGGCCACTTCTCAAGCAATCCAGAGTGGATCAGGGGGTGTAGCAAACCGAAAAAATAAAGAAGAGGTAGCAATGGTGGCCTCAAGCCTGAGAAATCCCCGTCAACCCAGAGGTTACTTTGGTTCCTCTTCCAGCCCCCCCGCAACATTACTACCCTCACCAAGATGCGGCATATGCCATGAATCCTCAGCCTTATGCAGTAACAAACGCCCAGCCATATGCTCGGCGGCAACAACATTACAATCAGAACCGAGTTTCACCTCCTAGAAATAACCCTCTTCACCAAGCCCATATAATCCCCGTCCACCACAGAATAATTTTCCATATTACTCCGGTACCCGTGAACCACCCAGAAAAACCAACTTCACACCCATCGGTGAATCATATTCCAGCCTCTTCCCAAAATTGGTCCAAATGGGTTTGTTACAGCCCGTACCTCCAAACAGGTAAAACCCAGAGTCACCCTCCTACCGACCAGGTACCCGATGCACTTATCATTCACGGGCAGAAGGGCACGATACTGAAGATTGCTGGACCCTTAAGAGAGCGGTCGAGAACCTGATAGAACAAAAGCGGGTAGTGTTGAGGGATGAGGAGGTCCCCAAAATAACCAATAACCCATTGCCAGCTCACAACAACGGGCCAGTTATTGGGATGATTTGTGAGGACAGAGAGTTCGACCCAGCTTTGAAAGCTATCATTGCTATTGCCGATGTTGAAAAGAAGCCCAAAGCGGCAGCAAAGCAAGCTAAGGATGAGAAGAAGAGCAACTCCACTCCTCAAAGCACAGAAAAGGTTGTGGAAACCAAGATAGGGGCAGTACCTCCTAAAGATGCCATTCTCTATGTTCCCAGAGCCCCCAGGAAAGAACAGCTTGTGTTGAGTCCTCCAAAAAGGTTTGAGCAAAGCAAGGTCACACTGAAGGTACCAAAGATGTACGTACCAAAGGGGACCTATGTGGCGCGGGGGCCGATAATTTTACCCAGGCTGACTGAGCCCGTGGTTATCAGCCGCGCCCCACAGAATCCCATGAAGGACCCCACCGCCGTCCCCTGGAACTACAACAATGCAGTGGTGACGTACAACGGAAACGAAATCATGGGGGAAGTGAATGAAACAGACCCATCTAGAAAGTACCTCAACTTGGAAGAATTGAACAAAACCAAGCAAAAGCGTTTTCCACTTAAAAAGCCAGTCAGTGCTGAGGAGGCAGAGGAATTCTTCCGGAAGATGAAAACCTTGGACTACGTCGTGATTGATCAACTCAGAAAGTCCCCCTCTCAGGTCTCACTTTTGTCCTGCTGATAAGCTCGAATGAGCATCAGAAAATGCTGTTAAAGACGCTTAATGAGGCATATGTTCCGGTCGGGACCACGGTTGAACAATTGGAAAGAATGGCAGAACGATTTTTCGAAGTCAACCGGATTTCATTCAGCCAAAATGACTTGCCTCTAGAAGGGGCTGCCCACAACAAAGCTCTTCATTTGACCGTTAAGTGTGAAGGATAATATGTGAAAAGAGTTATGTTGGACGGCAAATCTGGGGTTGACATCTGCCCTCTCTCAACCTTACAGAGGATGGAAATTGGGACTGAAAGGATTAGACCCAACAATGTTTGTGTACGTGCTTTTGACGACGTCAAGAGGGATACGACAGGGGAGATTGATTTGATCCTAACCATCAGCCCTGTGGATTTTGAAGATAAGCGTAGCCATGTGCCTAGGGAGCTTCCCATTCTATCCCGACCTTGGACCCTATTTCCTCCGAGTCGGACTTCGACAAGCCCTGAAATGACTTGGCAGCAAAAAATCAAGTCTTCGGATTTTACCACGTACATTAAAAAATAACTTTGACTTGAATTTGAAGAAAAGATAAGGTAAGTGGAGAGGTAAATGATACCTTACCTTCTGAGGAATAAANGGGGGACCCCGTTAGTACGTTGGGGCCACCGGGGGGGGCCTACGAATTTTTTTACCCCCAAGGGCCTGACCTGAGGCCCCTACGGGTTATCCAAGCCCGCGCCCCCAACACGAAATCCCCATCGAAGGACCCCCAACGCCGTCCCCTGGAAACTACAACAAGTGCAGTGTAGACGTACAACGGAACGAAATCATGGGGGAATGAATGAAACAGACCCATCTAGAAGTACCTNAACTGAGATGACAAACAGCAAAGCGTTTCACTTAAAAGCCAGTCAGTGCTGAGGAGGCAGAGGAATTCTTCCGGAAGATGAAAACCTTGGACTACGTCGTGATTGATCAACTCAGAAAGTCCCCCTCTCAGGTCTCACTTTTGTCCTGCTGATAAGCTCGAATGAGCATCAGAAAATGCTGTTAAAGACGCTTAATGAGGCATATGTTCCGGTCGGGACCACGGTTGAACAATTGGAAAGAATGGCAGAACGATTTTTCGAAGTCAACCGGATTTCATTCAGCCAAAATGACTTGCCTCTAGAAGGGGCTGCCCACAACAAAGCTCTTCATTTGACCGTTAAGTGTGAAGGATAATATGTGAAAAGAGTTATGTTGGACGGCAAATCTGGGGTTGACATCTGCCCTCTCTCAACCTTACAGAGGATGGAAATTGGGACTGAAAGGATTAGACCCAACAATGTTTGTGTACGTGCTTTTGACGACGTCAAGAGGGATACGACAGGGGAGATTGATTTGATCCTAACCATCAGCCCTGTGGATTTTGAAGTAACATTTTAGGTTTTGGACATGGACACCTCCTACAATTTTCTCCTAGGAAGGCCTTGGATCCATGCTGCAGGAGCCGTACCTTCTACTCTCCACCAAATGGTTAAGTTTGAACACGAAGACCAAGAA